TGCTTCGGCTGGCGAACCATACGAAGGCCGTTCACAATCTGCGCTGAATCGCCCGCGTCAGCAATGTCTATTCACGCGCTCGATACACACATGTGCCGAATACATATAACTCATATATATAAAGAATATATTGCATGCATACCTATACATACATACATACATACACATATATATATATATATATATATATATATATATATATATATATATATATATATATATATATATATATATATATATATTCCTGAACAATAAAACTTGACAATATGAAGATGACCACAATGGGCGAATGCAGATAAGTACAGATATTTCTACTCGCCTGTCTGACTTACCTGCTTGTCGGATAAACGCACACGTACGCAGATATATGTATATATGCACATACTTAGATATATCTAAGTATGTGTTTATCTAGTTAATTACTGTACTTATATAACAAACGTTCCGATCTATTATCAGTCTTTATATATATATATATATAATATATATATATATATATATATATATATATATATAATATATATATATATATATATATCTGCGTGTCTCTGCCCCACACAGCTCCAGCCCCCCTCCCCCTCCCCCGTCCCCATCGAGTACTCACCGCCGCCGTTCTTCTGGCACAGGTAAGGGAAGCGCCACACGGACCCGAGGCCGACGGCGTACCCGATCACCGCCAGGAGGTACTGCCACTTGCTGTCCCAGGACTCGCGGTCGTCCTCGGCACCTTCGCCAGGCTTCCCCGTGGCGGTGGGGACGGCGTCTCCGGGCGGGGGGCGAGGAGAGGGCGCCCAGCTCCTCCTTCTCTGAACGGTGGTGGACTCTGAATGGCCTAAAGAGAAGATGGAAGACGTTCTCAAATCGTGCGAAGAGGGGGGCGAGGGGACGCTCAGCTGAGAGGGAGGGAGCGGAGGCGAGAAGGCCGGGGTTGAGGTTGGGGGTTGGGGTGGGGGGAGTGTTGGGGGTTGGGAGTGAGAGGAAGGGCGTGGGTGTCAGTTTGGTACTTTGGGGCCTCGTGTGGGCGTGAGAAGAGGCGTGGGTGTAATGGGTTAAAGGAGGATACGGTGTATAAACTTGTATCTGCTGTTGTACTGTTCCTCGAATCTCGTCGCTGAAATTAGCAATTTCTGAAAAGATATAGTTTTAGCTTCGAACGGGTTAAATATGCGTGCAAAAATCATATTTATCATTGCTGTTAGCTGTAAAAGAAAAAAGAAACAACTAAAACACGAAAACTAAAACAGAGGAAACGAAATGACGATAATAAAAGAGAAACAGAAATTGAGCAAAATCCTTGAGGTTTCGCCCAGATCAGCTGATCAAGAAAAGCCCGGGAAGATTTGTGGTAAACCCGCTAGGGAAATCCACAGAATGCTGGAATGTGGACTTTCTTTAAAACCGATAACGCCAAATTGGCTCAAGAAATTTAAGATGATGAGAAAGATAATGGGCAGAGATAACACACTTCCGCCGAGGGAGTTTTTTGCTGGACACGTGAAACTCCCTCAGTAATTTTTTTTTTTTTTTTCTTCTTTCACGAAGCGGGGGACAGGTTGCCAGATACCACCAGAGCCTGGTTGCATATTCCTGGCATATCACATTCGAGTACATTTGCTCTCGTTTTCTATGCATATTTTAAGGGGGGTCGGTGTCATATTTTGCTATTTACACACGCTTTACGGATGGGGTCAATTTATACATCTTAACACTATGTTTAGAAGAGTCATTCAGCAAACAAGAAAAATAAATAAATAAATCGCAAGGTAAATTTGTTCAAGGAGTTTTAGATTTTTTTTTAACTGAATATATAGAAAAAATCAGTAAATTAAGTAATTGTTTCAATTGGATAATACTTATCAAATCATAGCAATTATAACGTGATAATTATGACAACCACAAAAAACAAAATTAAACGAAATTAAAAGAACACAAATTTTGTAGCATCACCTTTGCATTCACACAAACACAAATAAACATGTTATATGCACTCGCTACTTGGTCATAAGTCATTTATTACGTAAAAGATTCCTTTAACTCTTTTCATAAGCTCCTAACTGCTCTATTCCGTCTATTCATATAAAGTTACGCTATATATCCATTACGGTCTTATATCAATTCAATAAACAGAAATAACTAGATTATAGAAGGCTTTATATGGCCTATCATAACTTTTTTAAAAGATAACTTTTTATAAAGAAATCTATCTTCCTTGTGTCAGTGTTATTGATACCATTCACGTTTGAAAATAGTAAGAATAACACTGCAGTTCTACCATTTGTACTATTAGCCCTATTACTAGCATAAATAATATCCATATTTAATCTTAATAACAAAATAATCAATGTTATGGTTACCATTACATGTATCTTAGTTTCAGTTGTTATAAGAGTAATTATTACTTCCTCATTTAGTCAAAAAATTAAAATACAAAAAAGAAATAAAAAATCCTGAAAAGTATGTATATATATTTAATGTTACCGTGAGGATTGAAGGATAGACAGGAATAGGAGGAAATATATTGAAAATTGTAACATCAGATATACAGAAAAGATGAATAAATAGTAAAAATAATCTACATATACCAATGTATATACATGAATTATCGTCACAATATCGTTAAAAATAAATACTTTTCTCCCACACAAGAAAAATACTTTTTTATAAAAAATGTACAATAAATTTAACAGAAATACACAATTAAAAAAAAATAAAATCGGATAAACGATGAAAAATTACTGGATGTGCATAAAAAACAACACACAAAATGCTAAAATACGAATCACGATGGGTGACCCAAGGCCAAAAAATTACGTATCTGATGTTCGTGTCTAAAGTCGAGCAAGAAGGAGAAATAGTGGTTTTAGAAGCGATATGATAGAGGTCGTTAGTGCCCAACAATATATATATATATATACATATATATAAATTCATAGATATATCTATTTATACACACACATATATATATATATATATATATATATATATATAGCAGATATATATATATATATATATATGTATATATATATATATATATATATATATATATATATATATATATATATATATATATATATATATATATATATATATATATATATATATATATATATATATATATATGTATGTATATATATGCACGTATATATATATATATGTATATATATATATATATATATATATATATATATATATATATATATACATGTGTGTGTGTGTGTGTGTGTGTGTTGTGTGTATGTATCATATATTATATATATATATATATATATATATATATATATATATATATATATATATATATATATATATATATATATATATAATATATATATATATATATATATATATATATATATATTATATATATAATATATATATATATATATATATATATATATATATGATCCGGACAAATACAAAAGCTTGTCTTAGTTCCATCTACACATAAAACATACCGAGTGCACATAGAAACAACAAAACGCACATATGCACTACATATGATTCAAATACTGCTGCGTCATCTTTTTCAGAGATTCACGAAAAACTGCAACACTTCTCAAAAGTGTATTTCTGCTTCCTACAAAATGGACCTTCCTTGCCCATTTTCCTTATGAGATTCAACGTTCTTACGTAGTCTTATAATGCAAAATGATTTTTTTAACAGGCTCTGGATTATGTTTTTTTTCATTAAATATTAATCCCTTTGCTAAGAGAAAGCCGATCTGAAAAGGAATTACAGGAAGACTTCGTTGTTTCCTTCAGCGAAAGTCTTATGAACGTGCGACAGATTTCGGCAAAAGAAACCCTTCTGAATGAACCTTTATAGAACGGAATTAGTACCCGTTTTCCGCGATTCATAATCCTACTCCTGTCTCTGCTAAAACTACTTAAAACAAGGTTTCGTCCATTCTTTTCCCTGTCAAGCTTCATTTTATATCTACTGAGTAAACAAGGTCCCGAGTGAATTAATCTAAGAATATACGTTCTAACCTCCGCTGGACGTTAATTATGAAGCAATAATCGACTACGTCCGTTGCGACTAACGTCATAACTTCACCTGAAACTTCTGAAAACTTTCCCTCCCACTTAGCCCTTCCATATTGTCGTCTTATCCTGCCTAAGATCCCCCAGGCCTTTCTTCCGCGCTGAAGTGTTCTTGTTGACGTCATCATTCAGTCTTAGATCTTTCAGGCTTTTCTCATCTCACATCCTTCCTTCCTTCCCTCCTTCTTTTTATCCTTTCTTACTGATTTATATCCTTCCAACTTCTTGTTTTTTTTTTTTTTTTTTTTTTTTTTAGTCCCCCCTAAATGATATTGACCGCTCCTATTTCACAAGACGTTACCCCGCTTCTAGAAACTATACTTATCGCCAGATTAGTGTACCAAAAGCTATTACGACAAAGGCTAAACTTCCCACACTTTCTAATCGAAGCCAAGGGCAAGTCAAGGAACCGAAATCACAAAGTCTTGTAGAACCAACACTCATTCGTACAGACAAGGGTGCGCCGGAAGGGGATAGAGGGAGGAGGTTACACATAATAATTACAGCAGGAACTTTGAAACAGGTACGTGATACTGCAGTTGTGGATCCCGAGGGTTCTTGGTGGCTCTTATTCGCCCCCCCCCCCCTCGCTGCGTCCGGTTCTGGCTCTTTCGTGCGATTAAATATCTGCTTTTGGGCTTTTTTTGTTTGTTTGTTTTTAATGTGGTTGGGAATATCCGTCTATTCGGGAAAAGGGATGTTGTTCCTTATAAGGAGCATTAATTTTTTTCTTCCTCGCTGAGAAATAAAGTTTCTTCACTGTAATATTATCATCCTCATAGTTATAATAATTTCTAGGCTACTGTCTGGCTCCTTTAAAAAATATTTCTGTAGAAGTATATAGATAAATAAGTAAAAACTACACAGTTCATATATTCATTTCATTAGTACCCTAGTTGACATCCCGTATCTGCCAGACATCCCATGAACCACATCATCCATGAACAACATTTCGGAAGTATCAATCTTTGTCTATTTCGTAAATATGCGTAAGATAAGTGCCAGGAAGATGCCGAGGGAACAAGCAGAAGACGCCCGAGGGATCCACGACTGAAAATGTGTGACGTGTAGATGTGTTGGTCAACATCTATGTGCGTCTCAACTCTTCACTCATAAAGACAGCAGCTTGATCCTACTCACGAAAGAAAAAAAAAAAAAAGAGACGAAAATTTCACGTAATCATTCTATATCGATCCATAACACAACACACATTTTTTTTTTGTAATATTTCTTAATCTTTTTCATTTATTTAGTTCTATTTTTATTTATTATTATTTTTGTTCGTTTTTGTTTTTTTTTTTTTTTTTTTTTTTTGCCACGTGCTGTCTCCACGAGTGAACGAGTTTCGTGTTGAAATCCAGCAACATCTCTGCACTTACGTCCCGCTTGCTCTCAACTTTGACTTGTGGCACTACAGGTTGTCTCCCAAACCGCTGAGTAAAAGAAAGGCATAAGAACCCAATGGTTAATAGGTAGATTAATCAAAACAACATATAATGATAATAAGGATGATAATAAATAAATAAGGATGATAACAATAATAATGATAATGATAAATGGATGATAACAATAATAATATAAATTGTTGATAAGAAGAGTGACTATGATAATACCAATAATAATGATGAAATTAATGATAATTATGATAATAATAGCAATATTGATATTAATCAGGATGATGATTTGGATAATAATAAGGATAACGATAATGAGAATAATGAAAATAATGAAAATCTTGATAATAGTAATAGTAATAATACTAATGACAATAATGATAAAGATGATAATGATAACAATGACATTAATAAAAAATAAAATAATGATGATGAGGATAATAATAATCGGCTTTGGTAATGGTAATGATGATGATATTGATAAAAAAATAATAATGACGATAGTAACAACAACAAAACAGCAACTTTAATGATAATAATGACAATGATAATAATGGAATAATGATAATAATAGTAATAGTAATAATAATGATAATAATAATGATAATAATAATAATAGTAATGATAATGATAATATTAATAATGATAATAATGATAATAATGATAATAATAATAATGATAATAATAATAACGATATTATAAAATGATAATAATGAAAAAGATGATAATGCTGATAATCAATGTTATTACTATTATCTCTTATTTTTGTTTTCTTTCTTTATCATTATCATTTTTTTTATTATTATCATTATTATTATCATGATCATCATCATCATCATCATCATCATCAGTAACATTATCAATATTGGTATCATAATTATCATTATTGTTATTATACCAATAAGAACAATGAAGATAAAAATGATAATATGAGTGTAACATGATAAGCAGAACAAATGGTATATTAACAATTAAAATAGTGATGATAATAATAACAATAGCAATAATGATAATAGTAATGCTAATAATAATAATAATGATGATGATGATGATAATGATGATAGTGATGATGATAACAACAATAATTATAACAGCAACAATAATAATATTGATGATAATAATAATGATAATGATAATAAATGATAAATAATAAATAATAATAAATAATAATAATAATAAATAATAATAATAATTAATAATAATAATATAATAAATAATAATAATAATAATAATAATAATAATAATAATAATAATAATAATAATAATAATAATAATAATATAATAATAATAATAATAATAATAATAATAATAATAATAATAATAATAATAATAATAATTAATAAATAATGAGGATAATAATAATAGTAATAATAATGAAAATAAAAATAATGACAAGATCAATGATAAACACAAATAACGTCCTTATTGAACTCAGACATAAACATCAAAGGGTTAAAAAAGAAAGAAAAAAAGAGAGAGAAATCATTATGATTCTTTCTCTTCCTTCTACCTCGTCTCCTTATCATCATTATCCTTTTTCCTTTATTCATCTTCCTCCTATTTTCATATTTTTCTTCATTTTCTTCCACTTCTCATTCTTCTCCCTTGTTTGTTATGTCATTCTTTATCTTCCTTTCTTTATTTCATGAAAAAATTGAGTTTCATATATTGGTTCAGTAAATGATAGATTAATAATATTAGGTAGTAGGAATAAAATTAGGTAAATAGTAATTTATATAGATAGAATAGTAGTAGGAGGTAGTAGTGAATAGTCAGTTAGTAGTACAGGTAGTAGCAGAACTAGTAGTAGTAGCAAGTAGTAGAAGTAATAGTAGTAGTAGTAGTAGTGTAGAGTAGTTGTAGAGTGTAGTAGTTAGTAGAAGTCTAGTAGTAGTAATAGGGTAGAAGTAGTTAGTGTGTAGTTAATAGAGTGTAGTAGTTGCAGTGGCAGTAGGAGCAGTTGTAGTAGTTTAGAAGTAACAGAAGGAGTAGTACCAAAAGCCCTAGTAAAAGTAGTACTTAATCAAAATAACAACAATAGGAATAAAAATAGCGATATGTA